TGGACTTTTTGTTAATGATTTCTAGGCATTATTTATGTGTTAGTAAAATTGTCTTTGTTAATGTGAGTTAAAACTTTTAGGTTCTTTTATTTCCCCCTTCTATGAAAAAGTATGTACTGGGACCAGCAGGTGGCATGGTGGTAAGGGTGCTGGATTCCCACATGGCCGACCATGATTCAAGTCCTGGACCTGGTGGCTCGCTTCCTCACATTCTCTCTTTCTTTCTGTCCCTCTCTGGTCAAATTAAAAAATATATATAGATATACAAATAAATGAAAAAGGAAAAAGTATGTATGCTGGAGAGAGACGGAGAGAAAGAGAGTGGAGCACCCTTGACACCATTGAGAGTGGGGTCTCATCACACCATGTTCCCTTCCTTGTCCTTGCACACGTACAAACTCCAGTTCCTTGGTGAAATTATATTCTCTGAAATTAGGAAATGCCATGTTTGTATCCCCATTGTCCCCAAGCATATTCTGAGAAGGAAGTACCAAGATGGAAGAAGGACAAAAACGCAAGGGAGGGTGAAGGGTGCAGAGTGCAGTACTGGGTTATCCCTAGTCTTTACGGGATTGTCACTACAATGGCTTGTTTCTTTTTTTCTTTTTCACACAAATAGGACTTTTTATTTGTTACCATTAAACGTCAGAAACTTTAAACAAATTCTTGGACTGGTGGTTCATGTCCATCAGCTTGATCGACTTTAGCATCTGTTTAGCATCCGTTTGGTCTCCAGCTTTTGCAGAACCATCACCATGAAGCTCCATGAGTTTTCCCAATTCAAACTTGGGCTTCTTCTGTACTTTTGCTTTCCTGACGAACTCATCATAGAGAGGTTGGATAGATTGGCAACCCTTTTCTGTGTCTTTTCCAATGCTGTCTGGAATCAGTTTATTGACCACTTCTTTGATTTTATTTGTCTGCATCTCCTGGGTCATGATTTCCATCTCCTTCTGGATTTAGCAGATCTACTGATGCTGAGTATGAGGTCTTCCATATCTGATTGGTGTGTGTGTGTGTGTGTGTGTGTGTGTGTGTGTTAACTAAAACCAACACTACTTGGAGGAAAAAAAATGGAAGAAAAGGGTGGGTTTGGGCTGTACACCATGCTTAGGGGGTAGAGGTAAAAACCCTAGAGTCAAAATGTGTAAGACATGTAGAGAATTCAGAAATGTATTTTTTATTTTTCCTGTGAAAAAGCCAATTTTATAATTTGATCGTTTTAATAAATAACTGCATTAAATTCTTAGACTGATTGGACTTAGCAGAGTTAATGTCAAAATAAAGGCTTTAGGGTAGCCCCATTGTTTAGTGGTTAAGGAGCTTGATCCCACATGGTCGACCATGTGGTTCAAATTCCAGCTCCAGAAATCTGGCCCCAGCGCCTTGAGAAACACACTGAGTGCATGTGTGTGTGTGTCCCACATCCTGACAGGATATGGAATGGGAGGAAAAGGGATTGTGACATGACTGCACCCCACCTGCCCCCGTCTCTGTCTCGCTCTCTGGCCTGCACTGCCATTCACAGAAAAGTAAAAGCCTTATTTCGAAGGTTGTGTAATTTGTGCCAAAGAAAGCTCTCTTATTAGGGGCCAGAAGTGTGAAGTGTTCATGAGAGAATTGAGTTGTGGGGTTTTTTGTTTAAATTGTAAGGTTGACTGTTGGCAACATTTGCTTATAGCCAATAGCATCAGGCAGTTTTAGAGCATTCTTGTGATCTTTCAAGACTTTCCACATGGCTTGGTGGTGCCGTGGGAATGCGCAGCTGAAACGGTGCCGGATCCATATGGAGGACTATGGATTCAGTTTCTTCAATTGACCTGTGCACACTGGGCGTGTGTGCCCATGATCCTGGCTGGCCAGAAGGCTGCAGGGGATGGCTGCGTGAGACCCTACCGAGGGTGCTTCTCTCACTCTGTCTTTTTGTCTCTTACTCTCATAATGGAAGTAAATGCACTTAAAAAAAAAAAAAAACAACTTTTCAAATGGAGTCGTTCAGATAGGATCAAAGGATTAGGAAAAAATAGGTGACTGAGAGTGCTATAACATAGATGGGGTTTTCTCTCACTCGCCAGAGAGAGAGTGAAAGGGAGAGAGAGAAAGTGAAAAATCACTCCCACCCTCCTAGGATTTGGGGCATGCACACACCTGTGCCTGGCATGTTTTTCAAGCCATCGAGCCCAGGACCTGAACTGCTCATTTGGCTGTGTGGTATCCAGCCGCCTCAACCCACATGCCATCTGCTGGCTCTCTCTGTTTTACAGTCATCAGTTTTTAGTCCTGGGGTCCAACCCTGATGACTTTCCGTAATCCAATTACTTTGCAAAGGCTCCACCTTAATCCCATAGTTGGATTAAGCCTCCACCCTCTTAATACTATCACAACCAAATTTCAATGCATGAATTTTGGAGGACACATTCAGACTTTTCTGTTTTCTGTCCTTCCTTCTTCTAAGATATCCCCTATCAATAGCTGTTTATGGTTTTATTCTTTGCTTATATTTGGTTACTTAAAAATGTCGGCATGAAGAAAGGAATAATGATAGCGAGTAATACCTAACTATCCAACTGTGAGGAGGATGATGAGATGACATGTTTGAAGTGCTGAGCACAAGGTATGGCATAGCACGCATTTAATAAACGCCGACAGTACAGTGATGCTAGTGGTCTCCATCATCAGTCTTTTCTTCCTGGATTAATAGAGAAGAAAACTGTAAATAACTAACTATAATACTTGGTTGAATGGAATAAATGTAGTAGAGATAAAAACAAAGCTCTTCTCTCATTTATTCTAATAGAGGAGCAACTAATTTCAGTTCGAAAATTAGGAAGGAGGAATCTTTTCCCCTAAACTTTATGACATAATAGGATCTCTTAAAGAAAAGGGACAGAGGAATTCCAGATTGAGAAGGAGCATGAGCAGAAGCATGGGGCTAGCAAAGTGCATGGCCTTTTCTTTTCTTTTCTTTTTTTGAAGAAGTTTTTGCTATAGGGTGCGTGCACTCGCCAGACAGGCAGAGACAGACAGAGACAGACAGAGAGACAGAAGGCGAGAAATCACCCCCCAGGGGGGATGGTCACACCGCCATCTTGGGCACGCACGCACAGGCGCCCGGCGTGAGTTTTTTTTTTGAGAGGTTTTCGCTATAGGGCGCGTTCGCTCGCCAGACAGACAGAGAGAGACATAGAGACAGAAAGCGAGAAATCACCCCCTAGTGGGGATGGTCACACCGCAATCCCTTCTCCTCTATTCTCCTCTCGGGATCTTGGGCACGCACGCACACCAGGTCCAGGACGCAAACCGCGGTCAACTACGTGGGAGTCCAGCGACATAGCCATTATGCTGGTCCCCCACCCCCACCACTTTTTTTTTTTAAGAGAGATTTTTGTTATAGGGCATGGGCGCTCACTGGAGAGACAGAGAGAGAGAAAAAGAGAAAGTGAAAAATCACTCCCTGGGGAGATGGCCACAGTGCAGTCCCTTCTTCTCTTGGGATTTTGAACAGGCACGCACGCATACACGCCTGGTGTGAGTTTCAGGTCTCCGCGTCCGGAACTCACACCATGGTCAGATATGTGGGAGTTTGGTGCCTTAACCACTGTGCAGGCTGCTGTAAACCAGGGTGTGAAATGGATACCACTGGAAGATTCTTCTAGAGTAAGCCCTAGGGAACTTTGTAAAAACATTTGAGGGTTTTCATACTTAGAGGATTACACAAATTTATTAGACAATAACCTTCTCTTGCAAAGAATCTTAATCTCTACATGGGGAGAAAGAATTGGATTGGTATGTGCATGGGAGAGAGCACAGGGCTCTTCTGGCTGACTGCACTTGTAATTGAAGATGAACTTACCCCAGGAGAACGGACTGGCTGAAGGGAGAACTCCAGGCATATTTTAAAAACCGAGTGCTTGGTTTTTATTTTGAAGTCTTCAAAGATGATTATCTGACTCAGGAAAGTAGCTTTTGGGGATTAATCTGATGTGCCCAGATTTTAGTATTGCTAGCATTTTTTTTTTTCTTTTTGACATGAGATGATTTGTCTGGCCCTTAAATTCATCTTGCATTCTTAAAGTTTCTGCTGTTGCTCATGGAGCTTTTGCATTTTTCGTGCTTGTGACTCCAAAGAAATCAAGCATCCTGGCTGGATACGTTGTTAGGAAGGAGGCCTGCTTAGGACATAGATAGAGACTGATGGGCTGCTGGCAAAGGGAGAATTTAATGGAAACTCACAGCAATTGGGTTATTGCCAGGATAGAATGACCAGCGAATTCCTGCTTTGAGTTTTGGCTTCAGCCTGTTTTCCTGGTTGTACGAAATGATCCGGGTATCTAGAGTGATCTAGCAACAGGGGAGGATGTATCTAGTAACTGCTGACTTTCTGTTGGTGTTAGATGGACTTTGCATGTCTACCAGCGCATTCTGTGGACAAAAGCAAATGACTACTTATGTTCTAGGGACTGTTAATCCTATTTGTTCTACAGGCATATAGCACTTATGTATAATGCTTGTGCCTTTCAAAAATATTTCACATCTTGGCCCTGCCATGGTGGCACGTGCCGAGGGGCACCGCTGCGCAATGCTGGAGCCCTGTAGGAAAGCCCTGGTTTTGGTTTCTGGGTTGACCTGAACATGCCTGGCGCACATGTGGTCTTGCCTGTGATCCTAGCTGGCTGAAGGCCTAGGGAGGGTATCGTGGCGTGATAAGACCCTGCCTGTCTCTTTTTTCCCTTCCTCTCTTCCTCAGTAAATAAATAAACTTTGGAAAGAAGATTTATGTTCTCATTTTATACTCACAACTACCTTAGGAATTGTATGCCTTATTTTCTATTTGAAGAGGAGCTGCCAAGGCATAAGTAAGAGACTGAGTTATGATTTCTGATTTAACAAATAAAATGACTGGTACAACCCTAGTGCATCTCATTTTTGAACTGGAACTTTCAGAAAATTTTATAGGAGGAGAAAGCTGAATGATTTCTCTTTTGGCTGATATTTTTTAGCGGCGTCTTCGACATCTTCGGAACATTGCTGCCCGGAACATTGTTAATAGAAATGGCCATCAGCTCCTGGACACCTACTTCACGCTGCACTTGTGTAATAATGAGAAGATATTTAAAGGTAAGGGACTCAGTGGACTCTCTACCCGCAGGGTGTTGCATCCCGTCATTCTGTCGCCCCCATGTAGTGGTGTGTGCTGCTGAGATGCTGATCCTCAGGCTGGGATCACATGGAAGGTCCAGGTTCAATTTCTGGTCCAACGTAAGGGCTGGCTGCAGTGGCTCAGGAGACTGAGGCAGAAAAAGGAAGAGCTCAAGGCTGGCCTGGGCAACATCATGAGACTGTATAGAAGAGCCCGGTGGGATGGTGTGCACCTAGAATTCCAGCCACTGGGGAGGCTGAGGCAAGAGTGTGACACAGCAAGATAACTGTATTTAACAAAATAAATAAATAAATAAAATAAAAACTAAGTTTTATATATCCTTCAAACATCTCACAGGCAGTTATTTGGTCGTTGGAAAAGCCATGACACATTTTTGCATAGACAGACATAGAAAAATACTTCATGACTTTTCCCATGGCCCAATTTTATGTACTTCTTCTTTTTTTTTAATAGAGATTTTTGCCTTAGGGTATGTTCACTTGCTGGAGAGAGAAAGAGACAGAGACAGTGAGAGGGAAAGTGAGAAATCACCCTACAGGGGGAGATGACCACACCATAATCTCTTCTCTTTTTTTTTTTTTTGGAGAGGTTTTTTGCTATATGGCGCATGCGCTTGCCAGAGAGAGGCATAGAGACAGAAAGCGAGAAATCACCCCCCAGGGGGGATGGTCACGCCGCAATCCCTTCTCCTCCATTCTCCTCTCGGGATCTTGGGCACGCATGCACATGCACCCGGCGTGAGTTTTAAGCCACCGGGTCCAGGACGCGAACCGCGGTCAACTACGTGGGAGTCCAGTGACATAGCCATTACGCTAACTGCTGGTTCCCTCTTCTTGTCCATTGTCCTCCCAGGATCTTGGGCATTCATGCACATGTGCCCAGTGTGAGTATCAAGCCACTGGGTCTGGTACTCGAACTGTGGTTGGCGACGTGGGAGTCCAGCAATGTAAACACTATACCCTCTTCTGGCCTCCAATATTATGTCTATTAAAGAAACATGGTTACTGGATATTTCTTTCATAAATGGAGCTGTAACATTGATAACATTATCTTTCCATTATGAACATTAGCTGTTCATGTTTTAGTAGCTAGCATTTAAAATAGATTCAGATTCCAATATGCTGTACTAATCTCACTTTTTTAAAAAATGTAATCAATGTCAGAGGGTCTATATGTTCACCATAGAGAGACAGGGAGAGGGAGAAGGCAACACTCTGTGGGGTGTGGTCACACTGCAAGTCCTTCTCCATTTCTTCATTTTGGGCATGTATACACACATGTTCAGCATGTTTCTCAAGACACGGGCCAGTATTCAAGCTGCGTTTAGTGGGACCAGCAGATGGTGTAATGGTTACGTTACTGGACTCCCACGTAGTTGACCATGGTTCGAGTCCTGGACCCGGTGATTTACAACTCATGCCAAGCACGTGTGCATGCATTCCCAAAATTCTGAGAGTGGAGGAGAAAGGATTGAGGAATGGCCGTCCTCCTGGGGGGGTGATGTCTCCCTTTCTATCTCTCTGTCTCTCTCTGTTTCTCTGGTGAGTACACGTGCCCTATAACAAACATCTATCTCAAAAACAGAAATCCAAAGCAAAAAGAAAAAACTGGGCTTAGCTATGTGGGATCCAGCTACCTTAACACACTTGGCCAGGGTCCATCCCATCTGTACATAGTGATTTTTTACTCAATATGTCTTAGAGGTTTTTCCATTTTGGTTCATAGTGAGCCATTCTAATATTTTTCTGCCTAGTTTTGGCTTAAATAGATGTACCATTATTTGTGTAACTGGCTCCTATTGGTGGGAATTAAGATTGTCCCTTGGAAAACGCAGTACTACATTTGAGTAAGTTATAAGTGTGTTACTGTATACAAGTGCTACTATACCTATTGGGTAGATTCCAAGAAATGGACAAAGGGTGTGTGTTCTTGCAGTTTGAGTAAATATTGCAAAATTTGTTCTCCATGGAAGTTTGAAATGTATGAATGCCTTTCCCCCTAAAGCTTCACTAATAGCCTGTGCAAATTTTTGAATTTTTGCCAGTCTGATAGGCGAAAAAATAATTTTGCAGTATAAGTTTGTATTTTTCCTGTTATGGGTGGGGTTGAGGCACTAATAAAGCATTTGATGAATGAATGGAATGCAGGATAACAGCCAAAGCATGCTCTTGGAACCACGTTCTGCAAGAACATGCTTTTTGTTCCTTTGGCTCTTTGTGTGGGTTTATGAGAAGTGCTTGCATCTAATGGTCCCTTCATGGAGAAATAGGTCTTGAATGATATCTTTTTAAGAATTTACTTGCTGAATTATTTTGTTGAAATTGAATGAATAAAATTATACTAATAAAAATATAGTTATAAAGTGTTTTTAACTCACTATTTTATTTGAATATCATAACAACCTTGCTATTTTCCAGGTGTTATTCTCCTTTGAACAGTCAAGAAACTATGACCCAAAAAGGTTAATTGACCTGCCTGGGGTCATAAAGCTTATGTATGATGGATTTGGTACTGGAACTATTTTATACTCTGAATTCACTACGCTGCTAATTTTGTTAATAATATTTTAGGTTCTACAGAATGGTAGACACTTCAAGCCCAAGTTTAGCATGTTAGAAATGATCTCCTACTCAGTGGTTTTTTTAACCAAATTGTGTGACCCCTTTTTCACCTCTCTTTATTTAAATTGCAGGTCTGATTTGAGGGTTTAATGAAGAAGGCAAATTTTAGGTTTGATTTATTCATATGGTCAGCTAGCCAAAAAAGTTTTAGAACTAATGATATTATTCATCTTCATAAGCGGGAGGTATATATTGTTGAAACAGTTTGATTTAGACCCTTTGCATATTGAGCTAAGGAATTCTCTTTCCCCAAAGTGAAAAGGAGTATCTTTATTGTGTTTTTGTCTATTTAAAGTGAGTTACTTGCAGTGAATTCAAACGCTGTAAAAATGTATTAAGTGTAATGTAGAAGTGCTTTGTGATAAAAAACAATACTTTCACATCCCTTTTAGGATTTAGGATTTTTCCTTAAAGGAAGATATATTAGATATACAGAGATGTATCAGAATATATGTGTATTTGATTATAGTCAGTTAGTGGTTGGAATAATTGGATCACGATTTGAAGATAAACTGAAAAGAATAATAAATACTTAGGGTTTCATAGTATTGGGGAAATAGGTATTTTCATAAGTATTGGGTCATCGGGAAAGTCATGTGTCAGAGAAAAATTCAGTAGTGTCTATCAGTGTAATTCTGTATTTGTTCTTTGATTTCTTTTTCTTTTTTTTTTTGCTATAGGGCGCATGCGCTCACCAGAGAGACAGAGAGAGACAGAGACAGAAAATGAGAAATCACCCCCCAGGGGGGATGGCCACACCACAATCCTTTCTCCTCCTTTCTCCTCTCAGGATCTTGGGCACACACGCACAGGTGCCCGGCGTGAGTTTAAGCCACTAGGTCCAGGACTTGAACCACGGTCGACTACATGGGAGTTCAGCGACATAGCCATTATGCTAACTGTTGGTCCCTGTTCTTTGATCTTTTGATTATACTTCTAAAAGTTTGTCCTGTAGATTCAAGTGTCTTAAGATAAGTACCTTTAAAAGATTGTTTATAACATTATTTGAAATATGCAAAATTTAGCGGTCATTTAAATATCAGTAGGAGAGCCCTTTTAGAAAAAATAGAATTACCTCTTATTTAAAAATAACTACTGAAATAAAGATTAGCAAACTGCCTCAAGCAAATAAAAATAAGCAGCCCAGTCCTATCACCTAAGATAAGTAAATATTGTTTGCATAATTGTAAAAATTGGAGTCCTGTTGAAATAGTCTTAGAACTTTTTTTCTATCACTTAATTGTCATTATCTGTCACAAAATAATATATATATGTATTTTATTTTTTAAGTTTTTGCCATAAGGTGTGTATGTGCTCCTTGGAGAGAGAGAGAGACAGAGTGAGAAAGAAAGAGGGAATGTGAGAAATCACCACACAGTGGGGTTGGCCACATCACAGTTCCTTCTCCTTCATTCTCCTCTTGGGATTTTGGGCATGCTTGTGTACATGCCTGGTGTGATTTTCAAACTGCCAGGTCTTAGGACTTGAGCTGTAGTAGGCCATGTGGCTGGGAGGCCAGCACCTTAACCATTACCCTATCTGCTGGCCCCATAACATTTTTTTTTTTAAAGGAAGATAAAGAAAAAATAATGTAGATGGTGTGTTTGTTAAAAAGTGCTTTAACCAAAAGAGGTCGCCCTTTAAGTATTTGCTGGCTAAGTTCATTTTCTTTTTCTGTTTGAAGGGTCTCACACTTCAGTCATTACTGGACTTGTGTCGACACATTTCACTATATTTCAATTACATCTTGCTGTTACATACTGCTTTTTAAAAAATCCATTATTTTTAAACTAAGGTCTAGGCATAATCTGTGAAAATTTTCAATTCAGACAATTCATTGAGTATATGCTCTATGCCAAGAGTGGTTGTAGGTGCTGAAGAGATAACAGTTGTATAAAACATACCCTGTTTTCATGGAGCTTACAGTTAAGATTGGATGCGTGAGTCACACATTTTAATGTATTGGACAGGAACTAAGTTTGTCCATGTATCACCTAAAATCACCTCAAGCACCAGGGAGATGTGCATCACTGCAGGCAAATACTGCCCTGTAGCAACGTAAGGACAGAAGTCCTGTAGGCACTGCAGTCACTTGGCTGAGCTGGCAGAGAGAATGTTGGAGAGTTGTTGGGAACGTCTTTCTGAACCTCTGACCCATTTTGATCGGAGGTTTTGTAATGTTTGCCAGCCTATATGAAGGTTTGTAGAATCGTGAAATTGTAATACTTGCAGAAGATTATATTCTCTGAGTTGATTAATGAAGAAATGGGCCCAAGGAAATGAAAGAGACTGAATGTTAATTGACAGAGGTGGAAGCAGAACTGTGGCTACCTGGTTGCTGTATCAGTGTTGGTGCCACAGTGCTGCAGTGGGTGAGCATTAGAGATGCTCGAGAAAAACAGAGCAGGTGCAATCAGTTGTGGAGAGTAGAAGTGGAGAAAGAAGAAGAAAATTTGAATTATTAAGGGCTCAAATTAGAAGCTGGGGGAAAAGGAGCCAATAGGCAACTAAATAAAGTCTAAGGAGGTTTCAACCTGTTTTTTAATATTTATTTTTTACTTGTTTGTTTATTATTGTTTTTGTTTTGCCATAGGGTATGTGCCCTTGCCAGAGAGACAGAAATACAGTGAGAGGGAAAGTGAGAAATCACCACCAATGGGGATTACCATGCTGCAATTTCTTCTCCATTCTCCTGGGACTTTGGGCACATGTGCACATGTACCTAGTGTGAGTTTCAAGCTGCTGGGTCTGGGACTCAGACCATGGTCTGCCACGTGGGAGTCTAGTACCTCAACCACCATGTCACTTGCTGGCCCCAACCTTCTTTACTGATGTTTTTTCTTCTTTTAAAACATTTCTGTTTGGATCAGCCAGTGGTGTGGTTAAAGTGGTTGGATCCAACATGGCCGGTCGAATCCTGGACCTGTTGGCTTGACAAACATGCTGGGCACATGTGCGTGCTTACTCAAACCCTGAAAGGAATAATGGAGGTGAAGGGATTGCACTGTGACCATCCTTCATGGGGATGTTTTCTTACTCCCCACCACCACCCCATGTTTCTCTGGTGAGTGTACATGCCCTCCAACAAATGAAAAAAACAACAAAAAACTCGTGTTTACTTTTTATTTTTTTAAGTAAAGATATAGAAAAAATAGATTTCTTGAAAATGTTTTAAATGTTTCACTGGAACATATGTTTAAAAATCTATAGGATTAAGAGTTAACGAGCTTATTTTCTTTCATATCACTTATTGTCATTTTTCTTCTTTTCCAGAATTTTATAGAAGTGAAGTGATTCGGAACTCCTTGGTAAGTATGCTTTCTGATGTGTTTTTATGACAGTGTGTAACTTTTATTTCAGAAAATGCAGAGATGTAAAATAAGTTGAGGTTCAGTTCTGGAATTATGTTGCTTGGACAAATCCTCTGTTGAGTTATTGTGAGTCATCATAGATTAGTTCATTGCAGTATCTCTCTACAGTGCCTAGGACATACCTGACCCATGCTAGCTGCTTGATAGATATTTACTGAATGAACTGATTTTTTTTTTTTTTTTTGTTTGACCCTTTTATCTCGCAGAAC